ACTTGTTTATCAGTAAATTGAGTTTGCCTTGCTCTCTCTCTCTCACTCACACACACACACACACACACACACACACACACGCACGCACGCACGCACGCACATACCACACACACACAACATTCAAAGACCCTCTCCAACAACAAAAAACCCAAGTTTGAATTAGCTTGTATGTACATTTATAGGATAATTTCAAGTCTGTGATCTACAAAGTCCAACCTCAGAGTCTTTGAGGACACAGATGTAAGGGGCCGTTCCATGTCTGGAGCCAATTTCTTTTCCCATGTAGATCTGTGCTCACCACAATGTTCAGGGAGGGGGAGACAACTGTTTCTCTGTTTGGTTAACATAAGTGGAAGGATTTCCAAATGGGGACCATTAGGCCAGATTGGTAAATAAACCAGCTGCCACGATCCCATGTCCAACATGCTGTGGGACAAAGTCAAACTTACCTCTTTCCTTATCAGGTCTGACCTGCAAAATAATCATCCTCAAACAATTCAAAGTGCAGACAGATTAAATAAAGCCTGTTTTTTGTTTTTTTTTTGTAACGAGCAAGTGACCTGAGAAACCAGCACACTGCATGGATTAGTGTGGGATTGAAAACTGAATTTATTATTATGATTTTTTGCTAAATGATGCACAGTGTAGACATATGCCGTTCTCAGGGGAGTCAGTAGAGCAATCTTGTCACTCATGTTTCTCATCAGCTGAGGTGTCACAACCGATCTGCAGTATCCGCAAAGCATCGGCCCATCCCACTTTCAATCAGCCTGACAGCAGCTATTAATCAGTCTCTCTAATCAGTAACAAAAAGTCAGAGTGAAAGAAAATTACAATCAAATACTAGATAAGTAGGTTTGAAATGAAAAATCTTTGAGTTAAATAATTTAAGCCTAAAGAATTGGTCCCTAAGGGCAAATCAAAGGTAAAAAAGCACAAAAGACAAAATAACTTGCAGGACAATGAAGCAGGTTTTGTTTACAAGTGTCAGGTATCCAGACCACTGAGTTCACCCTTTTACTGTGGGCTAGTTTTCATTTTGCATGTTCACACACACACACACACACACACTAGTGCACGCACGCACGCGCGCACGCACACACACACACACACTTTCCAATAGATAACGATGATGCTTGAGTTGTGAGTTGTGTTGCACAGATTTACACAATAAGACTTATTTTACACTTAAAAACACAAATTAAAGATACATTTACTGATTTTGTGTCAGAATACACAGATGTGTAAACTAGCTGGACAAAACTATCATTTAAAAGAGTTTTTCTTGCTTGTTTTTCTGTTTTGGACCCAACTGCTGATCATCATGGCTGATTAAATCAGACGCCTTTGCCTATTTAGAAGGATAATAAACGTATTGACTGAAGACAAAGAGCACAGTCAGATCAGCCAAAACAGTATTGAAAGGATCACGATACTAACTGGTTTAAAGGTGAACCGTCCTTTATTCGATAAACCAAAGAATGAATGAAAGGAGAAAGTTGATCAAACTCGTGCCACAGATTAATAAGACGCAGAGGGTAAAACCACTGAAGTTTACGGTTTTTTTCAAGCGTAACAGTTAATAAGTGATGTGTAACGCTGATGAAAGTTCACATAAACTATAAATACTGAACACAATAAACGTCAAAAGGCCACAGCTCAGTGAAGCTGAAATTTTTAAGTTAATTAATGCGTTACTAACCTTGAGTCCCATTCAGTGAGCCCTCGGAACGGTAAATATCTCTTGTTTATGTCAGCCACTTTGTTACATTAATATATATTTTCCTTATAATGACTAAAGCTAAAAGTTTCATTTGGTTATAAAGCAGGGCTTGATGTTCCGCCTCCTCCTCAGCTCCTCAGCCGCCTGGACTCTGCGTCGGAGAAGTTCTGTGATTTACCATTCACGAGACTGGCTCTGTGGACTGTACCAAGATCCAACAAAGAAAAGGGGTGTTTGATTTATTTAATATGTTGACTTTGAAAATAAGAAACTGTTTAAAACCAGTCTAAATTAAATTTTAATCATTATTATTCTGCGAATATTAAAATAATACACACATGAGAGTAAATATAAAAGATGTTTTAATTGAGAGTATAAAAAGCGTCACCTCTCGTTTGGATGTGGTATGTTCCAAGACGCTACGAAGGTAAGGTATGTGTGGAGGACGCCCCCCCTGCCTTCTTTGGAAGAGTGAGAACTCCTTCTGTCCCATCTGTACCAGCCCTTCAGTAAAAACACTGCCTTGAATATATTTTAATGACAAATAAGCACGAAGAAGCCAAGAAGTATTTGACTTGTGATGCTCACAGACTGGATAACCAATGAAGAACATGGGGTTGGAGAGAAAAACAGAATACTGGCTAAATGTTGGGTCGTTTTATTTGTTTTTCTACAGTTCAAGCAGGATCTAGACAGTTTGGGAAGTTTAATGTGCGAACATCCAAACAGAGAAGGTTCTAGACTAACTTTAGAAGGGGGTCCAATTGGGGCCAGCTGCTCTGAAACAAAAATACATTACAAGTACAGCTTTTATGGATTTCTAACTTTCAAACAATGACAACAGCAATTCAGTTACACTTGTGTTTGATACAACAGCTTTTCATAAAGTTTCAAAATATGACTTAGGCCCTGTCCACACGTACCCGGGGATCTGCCAAAACGTCGATATTTTTCGACGTTTTGGCCTGTCATCCACACGAAAACGGAGTTTTTTCAAACGAAAACGGATCTTTTTAAAAACTCCGGCCAAAGTGAAGATCTGCGTTTTCTCCATTTTGGGTGTCTGCGTGTGGACGGACAAAACCGGAGTTTTAAGGTCCGCAACGTCACTTTCCGCGACAAAAAATGCTGACATCACGTGTGCGACCTGTGTTTACACTAGCCGACAGCATGGATGCCCTCAGAGCTGCGCTCGCTTTATCAATTGTCCAAGCGCTTTTTGCTTGTTTGTTTTTGCAAGCGGAATTACTGCTCCTTGCGGAAGACCACAGACGAAGGACGAGGTTAAGAACTGGGGAAGTACTGCCGCCTACAGGTCTGGCATGTCCTCAACAACGTATTTATCCGGGTACGTGTGGACAGAGTTTTGTTTTAAAACGAGGTGGTGTGGATGCAAGTGTTTGGAGGGGCGGATATTCGTTGTCAAAAAACCCGGCTACGTGTGGACTAGGCCTTATTTGTAAATAATACAACATTAAAGTACTTGTCTCAGTCTCTTTTTTCAAATGAATATTTACATGTTTTAGCTTCAGAAACTTCATTATGCTAAATGATTACAAACAAATTAGGGGTCCAAAACCCCATATAACTTGTTGTCGAATGTTACATGCCAACCCTCAAGTTGAGTTTAGGAGTTGGGAGGAAGTAACAATAACGTGACTTAACTAACAGAGCTCAGTTGGACTGCTTACTTTGTGGAGCGCCTTAGTCGTGATTTGGCACTATATAAATAAGCTGAATTGAATTGAATTGCACCCACCCGTGAACATCGGCCGGCCCGACAGAGACAGTCATCAAGCCATTGCAGTAAACCAATCAGCAGACAGCCTGGCCGAGTGTGTGTGGAAAGCCAGTTGTTTTAATGTGAAGATTTATTTAGGAGTTGTGTTTGGTCATTCATAAAGACTCCTGAGCCATTCTGAGCCTCAACAGAGACTCATGCTAGAGACCAAAAGAACCGTTTCCAATAGTAAAACAAAAAAAAAAAAAACCTTTCTAGGAAAGCTTTTGCTAATGCTCTGTGGTCAGTAGGGGAGCTTAGTTGGGTTCAAGCTTGGTCCCAAAGAAAAAGAGTTAAAAACAAGCCAAATGCCTGGATTTGTATCAGCTTCAGGCCAATTGTGAGTTGTTGTTTTTTTTGTCATGAGGAAAAAAGATAACAAGAATAGGAAAACACAAGTAGGACTGCACAGTGGTGCAGTGGTTAGTTCTGTTGTCTTGCAGCAAGAAGGTCCTGGTCACATATTCCAGCCTGGGGTCTTTCTGCTAGGAGTTTGCATGTTCTCCCTGTGCATGCATGGGTTCTCTGGGTTCACTAAAGGAGATACGAACTAGATAATCTGAACATATAGAAAACTAAAAACAAGTGAAGTGACTAGGGGGAACATGAGGGAAACCTGTAGGGGGCTGGGGACCAAAGGGACACAGAACATGACACTGCCTGTTTGCCCATTGGCTGCTGGAGATATGCACCCCCAGCAACCCTGCATGGACAAGATAATGGATGGATCGATGGAAAACACAAGTAATCCCATTTAAAAAATACTTTTATCCCCTTGTGAAATGTTTTGTGAATTTAACTTGGTAAAAACAAAGTGTCTGCTTGTTTGTCACGATTTCTGTTCTGTTCTACAAGTGTCTTCCAGCTGTTCCAGTGAGTTACCAGTGAAGCCGACGTGATTCCAGGTCAAGCTCCGCATTCTCAAATACAGAACAGATCGTTTCCTAAACACAGTTAATCGGCTCCAGACTGCCCTACAGGGCCCTTGTGTGTTTATAATCTGCGTTTGGACAGACCAACCCAGAGCATGTGAAGCCAGGAGATGTTCCTGAAATATATGCTCTTCATCTCTGCCTCTCCATAATTTTCCTGACCATGCCCTTTTGACTTTTCCAACCATTTTTTTTCTTTTCTCTTTTCCTCTTCCCCTCACACTTCTTCACAATGCCCTGTGCCCGCGTGTGTGGACACACCAAGATGATGTCAATATTTGAAACATCAAAGCACAGCGTAAAGTTAAATAAGCTTGTTAATATTTAACTTTAAATGGCTCAGCTACACGTCATGCACAGAAAAAAGATTAGAAGGTTGGGCAAATCAGAGTACCTTTTTAAATATATGCACATGGAAAATGGGACATTATGAAAGACAGAATGAATAATTTCACATAAGGGAAAGAGGGAGAGCTCTGACTGTGAAGGCCCAGGGGATTGGGAGGAGAAAGTGATGGGGCAAAAGCAAAAGATAAATCAGTCAATACTGGAAAACATATTTAAAATTGGCATGGGGTCATGTGACAGAATGAAATAGAGATAAGGGAATGAAATATAACATAAATTTGATGATTTGTAAGAGTGCTATGACAACTTATTGCAGTCTGCTGTGATGAAATGTTAAAAGGTTGTGCACTCAGCAGTTGCTGGAAGCAGTGACTCATTACAAAAGCTAGCTGCTCCAAACCACAAAGTTAAACCAAACCAGAGGTACCCACACACTTACACACACACACACACACACACACACACAGAGAGAGAGAGAGAGAGAGAGAGAGAGAGAGAGAGAGAGAGAGAGAGAGAGAGGGGGGGGGGGGGGGGAATGCAAACCACAAACTATCCTTTCTTTTCCTTTCACACAAACAAGAATTATGAAATACTGAAAATATGAAACTGTGCATCATTGGAATGATTAGCCAGCAGGGGGCAATATGCAGCATGGGAACGTAGACTAGACTATTTCTCTCTCTCTCTCTCTGTGTGTGTGTGTGTGTGTGTGTGTGTGTGTGTGTGTGTGTGTGTGTGTGTGTGTGTGTGTGTGTGTGTGTGTGTGTGTGTGTGTGTAAACAGCTTACCCTGGGTTAGTGGTGTTGGCACCGAGACTTGGACTCCATCCAGACTGCAGAGGTGACCACAGGGGTCCAAGGTCACCACCCCTCCTGTTATGTTGAACACGAGTGTTACAAGTTCATACATTTTATTAATGAGTTCCTCTAATGCATTTTGATGTTGTAGAACAATTTCTTTATGCTGCTATAAAAGCATCTCTATTGTCAGAATGGCCTTTGGAAAACTGAGGGTAAAAAGTGTCACATGACTCCATGCGGCCACAGTAAGAGTTAAACCAGGCATGTGATTTTTTTAATGAAATCTTATGCTTATACTATTTTACTGGTAGAAACACAGATTCTTGAGCACCCAGGAGAATATTGGTGGCATACAGCTGTAATATTTCAATTGGATGCAGTTTTGTTGGGAAATCTTGTTAAAACAATTTCATGAACTACTTGACTTATTTGATTTAAACTCTTAAAAATACTTGGATTCATGACTGATTGACTTTTGAAGTCAACCCAATTCAAGCTGCTAGTCTTGGAAAAAATAAAACTTGGTGCAACTATGTTGGTTTTACAGATATTGGGCTAGAATCTTGTTTCGTTGAGGATCGCATACTCTATTTGGGACACATTGTCCAAGATCATTGGTGAAAACGGAGACATCCTTGTCTAAAATGGTTATAACACTTTTACAGCTATACGGCTAATGAGTTAGCCCGGAAATCTAGACAAACCATAGCAGTTTGGGCAGGCGTTGCACCTTTGGGGCTGAGCTGTGACTGAGCAAAAGAATGGTGGCGGCTCAGGGATGATGTTTTAAATGGCTTTGGCATCAACATTGGATGACTGATACTTGGGCTTTCCTTTGAGACGTGAGCAGGCAGACATACCTCTTTCTCTTCGACGGTGTATGGCAGACCCCGACTGATTTTTATTGCTATGAATATGTCACGTTGTTCTGATTGGTCTTCAGCGCTGTTCAGTTTTGTGCAAAGACTGTTTGAAAAACAACTGCAGATTCCACCCCCACGACTGAGCTCTGTCTGTGGGTCGTGGCCAGATGACATATTTACATATAGGATGGCATACCTGGCTACTAATGATTGGTTTATGTATTAGAAGCCCAAGGCACTTGGAGCACTATCAGATCACCTTAAAACTGCACGCAATTACATCATCAGTGCCAACCTTCATTGATGATAAGACAATGCTCTTCCTCAATGCCAGGCCCCTGGACTGTGATATCCTGGGGAATTCGGGCATCCTCTCTTCCAATACGCGTCACTCCTGAAACAAACAAAAAACAGGCAACAATAACAGTCTTGTAAAAGAATGAGACAGAAAAGAATTATGAGTGAAGGAGTCTGTGTGAACATCTTGGAACAGAGTCTTGGACAGTCTACATCGAATTGTAAACACAGAGGACGGTGCTTCCACAGCTGATCTGGATGTCTGTTTCATTTTAAAACTTTAAAGCACATTTATTCGAGTAAAGTTTTTAAAACTTTCCAGTACACATGAGTCCTCACTTAAAATTCCTTATACCCAAGACCAACATCAGTCAGTTTGAATTATTATTCCATGTTCTGTCTAGAGGCTATAGAATTATAATCTCTCTAACAAGCGTTGTTTTCACTTTATATCATGTTAGAAAGCTTCTTATATCTCATTAGATATTGCCCCTGCCGCTTTTTTGGCAGCTCAGTACAATGACGCCTCCGCCTCTTGCTGAGCTGATAAATCTGGCGTGTGAGTAGCAGGAGAGTGTCTGTACACATTTCCTGTGCAGTACTCGTTACATAAAAAACTAGAATCTTAATTATGTTACACATGTTTGAGAAGTAGAGCCTATCCTTGTCATGTGGGCGTTGAACAGGAATTGTGATCGTTTTTCTCTTTTAGTAAAATGAAGATCTGGGACAAAGGAACTTTGTAAATTAGAGTTGG